CAGATGGAGAAAGAAAATAAGTATAGCCTTACTGCGTTTGGCTAAACACTATATGATATGCAAAATCACATATCTCCATAAACGCTCTGATACGATCGACATGATTTTTATTATCATGGCCTTCAAAGCATCCTACATTCTCGACCATATGTATTGTTGAATTTATTAGCTCAAAGTTAGGTACAGTAATCAGAGGCAAGATGATGTTGGAATCTATGTTCGCAGTTTTAGACCTCATGTACTCGTAGAGAGTTCGTTCAACCAAGCCTTCCGAAGTTTTTGGTTTAGAAGGGAGCTTGTTGCTTTCCGCTGAACACTGGTCCAAGAGTGGTTTAAGAGTTAAGGAGAAGAGCAGTAAGTTGCTTGCTCTTAAACCTCTCTTCCTAGGTGAAGGTGGTGACTTGGTTTCAGAAGAATTAGAAGTACAACTGTGATACACACAACCTTAGACAAGCCTTTCAAGGTTAACCTTGTTTCTCTTGCGTGCTCGGCTCATACACAGAAGACGAGAGTACAATATGTACGTGACAAACTTCTATCCAAATTGTTGGTTGGGCCACCAATTTTCCCCATAAAAGGACACCCTCACCACCGATAAATTTTCCTTCGGTTTTGCCCTGGAAACTGACTCTAACTCACAGATGTAAAAAAAAAAGATTAAAAACGAGCAGGTTTAAGAGCAAGCAAAAAATTAAACCTAGCCAAAAGGGGAATGGGAATTGGCACTGGTGCCGTCATATTAAGATGGAATCTGGTTCCCTGTTTTTCGATTCCGACCCTTATAGGTTTGACTCTAAACAATAAATCTAAAACACAGATTCAAAGAAATACTGTAATAAGATACAAATAGAAGTAAAACGAATAATAGAAACGAAAGGATAAAAACAACAGGAAAATAGAATACTTACCTTGTTCCCTTTCTTATGGTTGCGAGAGTCCACAACGACGGCGCCAAAATTTGATAGTATGTAGTACGTATATGCAAATTTATCTTGTGCGATTACCAATATCAAATTCCTTAGGGCTCTCATAACCACTTACTCAGGTGGCGAGGGACAAGTTCAATGTGATTTTAAAATGAATATGAAGATTGAGGTTCTTTCGTGGTTGAAGTTCCCCTTGGTTTTAAAAAACGAAGGAAGATTACAATGCAGAAGGAAAAAACCTATACTAATGGTTGGTGAAGGAAATAGGGGTGAAGCGTTGCATAGCCAAGCTCCCATAGTGTTCCTTTGACTCGCAACCTTAACTTTGAAAGCATATGAGCTGTTGGATCCATGCTATGTTTATTCCTTTATTGTGTCATGGCATGAAGAAGGACTAATAAGAAACAATATGGACCCTACGGATGTCTCATCTGAAGAAGTCGACGCAACTCAATTGATTGATGATCCATCATGAGGGATTGTTGTGTCTAGTCTCATCCAGTCAAGAACTAGGGTTTGAGGATGCATCCTTTGAAGATAGTCCTCATATTGAGCCACACAATTGAATCAACAATAAATCAAGCAGATGAATCAAACAGAAAAGATAGATGAAATCAAACTCATATGTAACAAAATCAAGAGTTACATAGTCAAAGAACCTCTAGGGTTCGCTAACCTACACTAGTCGCTCATGAGGATGTGATTTAGGGTAACATTAGTCAAAATTAGACCCCATATTACCCTTGGAATAGGCATCTAGAACAAGCAATCGATGGCTAGATCTCCATTTCTGACACTGATTTGCCTTTCGAATTTGGTTTCGCTAAAAAATAGGAGATTCATTTTGTTGTCTGAGTAATGATCCTCTCATGCATCCTATCACTACCTACCAAATTTCTATCCCATAGGGTTTATTTATAGGCCTCTGCATCAGATTTTCTGGGAGGAAAAGTCATCCTAGCACACGTTTGTCGACCCTCCTTCGGGCATCTTCCAGCTTGGCCACAACGTTTGGCATATTCCTTGAGATATGGGATCGATTTGGAGACTCCCCAAAATGGCGGGCAATGCCCCATTTTGGGCTTGGCTTGATTGATTTCAATGCCATTTTCTGGACTTGATCAAATCTCGCATTCTTACTTCCAAAAACCGCGCCTTGAAGCTTCCCACTCGTACAAGATAGTCCACTATGATACTTTGGCCTAAGATAATATGAACATTATCAAAAGTGCATCAAAATGGTAAAAGCAATCCTAGAGCTACTAAATCGCACCTTGAATTATTATCAAGCAAAGGCAAGTTATTATGTCACTAAAGATGTTAAAACCATGCAATTCTAGCCATAGTAAATGGTAAAAAATAGTGGTTCATATGCATCATCAAATAACCTCACATTTGCACTTCGCTTGTCCCAAGCAAATCTTACGCGTAATTGTACAACTCAATAGACCTCTACAATGACACGTGATTTTCTAACGTAGGTAGTGGATCATAAGTAGTTTACAAGTTCAACCCTCTCGCTTAGAGAATCAAACCACAACAATGAGGTGCAAATCTCGCAAGGACAATCTGGCCAATCTCTATCTATCATAAGCTCCTAACTCAACTCGAGAGTCTCAAAACGTTGGGATGAACCTTTTCGCAAATTTTGGTTTTACGTTTAAGCACACTCTACCTTTGTTGACAATGAGATTTTTATTTCCTCTCTTTACGAATAACATGCCGATTTTTTTACCTTTTTAGCACATGTGGGTTAGTTTTGCTTTGTACATTGGTGCATCGCAGCCTTGACTAAGAGCAATTTCTGCACCTTATCACTCACATAAAAGCTTTGTTTAACCCTTTGTCCTAGATATGTGTGGAGAGACAATGCTATAGAGGGGTGTTGAATGCTTTACTTGTGCCCTCTGAGCACCATTTTCAAACGGAACTTGGTTTAGGATTGAGGAGGAACTAAAGTTCTAGTTTGATAGAGAAGAGGGTTGGGGGGGCGCTAGGGAAAGTGTTTATACTAAGGCAGACTTGGACAGTCGTTGAGCACCGACTAGAGTTGTTGAAGCTAGGGAACATGTGCAAGGGCATGGTAGAGGAGGCGCTAGTGGGGTTGTGCATGACAGGGCTAAGACCGGAGTTAGCTTAAGCAAGGAAGGTGTTTTGAGTTTCAATTGCTACGCATGGCCTTCAGACTTGTAGGCCAAAAGGAATAGGAGTTTGCAAGTTGGAAGGGAAGTGACACTTACGCGACATCCGCCGCAGGGACCATGCTAATGGTAGCTTGCCTAATGTCAATGAAGTTTATGAGACTAATACTGGCAGAGATGGAGCAGAAGCAGAAAGATGGTCATTGCTTCAACTGAAACAAGAGGTACGTGTGAGACACCAATGCACGAATGCTCACTCGATGTTGTTTGTAGGCAATCTAGAGAATGTGGTTGCGCAAATGGAAACTGAGGAAGGGAGGGCGAATTTTTGAGGAGGATATGATGAAAACCAGGTCCAACCTAATTTCCATCGATTTTGATATTTGAACGTATTTTGGTTCTTGACGGATTGTTTTAGTACTTTTAGAGAGTTTTGTTAGTATTTTTCAGGCTATATTTGTTAGATTATCAAAAGTTTGGGTTAAAGACACATTTGGTCACTGAGATTACAAAATCGGGACATGTTTAGTCACTAGAAAAAGTTAATATCAAATTTGGTCACTACAATTACTAAAATAGGTCATATTGAGTCACTCTCCGTTAGTCTCCGTCCAACTCCGTTAGTGAAGTCCGTTAAGTGCTGACGTGGCTAACGGATGCGCCTAGTCAGCATCGTTTTGACCCAAAAATCATCATACCCGACCCGCCACGTCAGTTTCACCCTCCATGTCATACACCAACCCAACCATTAACCCAACCCGACCCAAAACCAAACTCAACCCACCTAACAAAAAAAAAAGGAAAATCATCTGGTTAGTGGCCATTTTCAGACCTTCGACTTCCTGGTTCCGACTCGAACACGAACACCTTCACCTTCGACAAATTCGCGATTCGGAAAAAGCGGATTACATACATAAAGCTTCAATTGAACCTTTACCTTTGCTGCAAGAGCTGGTATCGGCGCTGATGCCGCAGCGCGTGGTGAGACCTAAGGCCTGGGTGACATTGATCCCGAAGGAAGCAAGGAGCCCGGGAGTGTTGTAGAGGTTGCAGAGGCAAGGCAGCTCCGTCCTCACGGCTTCCTTGATCGGATATTACCACCGCAGATCCGACCCTCACTGGTCGGCTATTAGGACCGCCACGAACCTCTCCCCCGACGGCCGGCTCCACCTCAGCCACCTCAAGCTGCTCCGCCTCCTCGGCGCGGGGAATTTGGGGCGGGTCTTCCTCTGCAAAATTAGGGATTCCAGCGACGCCGCCTCCGCCCAATTCGCGCTCAAGGTCGTCGATCGAGATACTCTCAGCAAGAAGAAGCTCTCCCATGTGGAAACGGAGGCCAGGATCCTCTCCTTGCTAGACCACCCTTTCTTGCCCACGCTCTACGCTCGAATCGACGTCTCGCACTACACCTGCCTGTTAATCGATTACTGCTCCAACGGCGACCTCCACTCGTTGCTCCGGAAGCAGCCGGGGAACCGGCTGCCCCTCGCGGCGCCGCTCCCGACCACCGCCGCGTTCCTCCCGACCAACTTCACGATCCTGGCCCAGCACGCGTGGCACACCCTCACGCTCGGACTCGGAACCAGGAAGTCGAAGGTGGTGGTGTTCGTGTTCGAGTCGGAACCAGGAAGTCGAAGGTCTGAAAATGGCCACTAACCAGATGATTTTCCTTTTTTTTTTGTTAGGTGGGTTGAGTTTGGTTTTGGGTCGGGTTGGGTTAATGGTTGGGTTGGTGTATGACATGGCGGGTGAAACTGACGTGGCGGGTCGGGTATGATGATTTTTGGGTCAAAACGATGCTGACTAGGCGCATCCGTTAGCCACGTCAGCACTTAATGGACTTCACTAACGGAGTTGGACGGAGACTAACGGAGAGTGACTCAATATGACCTATTTTAGTAATTGTAGTGACCAAATTTGATATTAACTTTTTCTAGTGACTAAACATGTCCCGATTTTGTAATCTCAGTGACCAAATGTGTCTTTAACCCCAAAAGTTTACTATTACTGATTATACAAGTGTATATTACCTACATTTTATTAAGGTAAATGGCAATCGAATTGTGGGGAAATATACAAATATGGCTTAGATACAAATTTCAGGAGTGTACAAAATCTTCCATATGTTATTTGGTTTATCCTGTAAGCAAATTGTAAGCAGGTAACTCCTTCACAGAGTTGACATCTTCCAGGACAAGCTCGCGTTCCAACTGAGTCCTTGTGGACTTCATAACATCCTGCCCAGTATTCGCAACATTTTGACATGAACAAACAATACAAAACTACATCAGAGACAAAGCACCAAAGAGGAAGAAAACTCTCGGGCGAAAAAAGTAAGCTTACATTAAACTCCATATACGACGCCCGCTTTGCTAGCCATTGAGCATCCATCATCTGAAACGCTACACAGTAAAGGTTGTCGAACGCCGTCTCATCGTGCTCCAGGAGTTCCAAAAACCGGATTCCTGCTGCGGTTGAGGGCTTCCCTGCAAATTGGCAATTCCAGGACTGTCGATTAGCATTTACTTTCAAGGTTTGACTTGACAACAATAATTTGTCGAAGCAACAGAAGCATAAGAAACTAGCCTTTCTGAAGATCCAACATTTGTGCGAGCATGAAAGAAATGTTGATGCCAGCCACAGCAAAAGGATACTCCCACTCAGCTCTCTTCCCATCTATTTTGTGTAGCAGTCTCTGGAACGAGATCTGTTTGACCAAATGTCAGCACCAAGCAATTAAGTACAAACAACACGAAACCCCATGCCGTGCTTTTATCCCACTAAGGAATGAAGTGGTTCATTGGGCTGGAAATATCAAGGCACAAACCGGATAGTTTCTTGCAAAGAAAATGAGGTTCTCCAGTGATATATATCCTCCACCCCTTCAAACAGCAAAGAAAATGTCCACATCAGTTGGGGATTTCAATGGCTACAGCAATTATAGAAGAGTCGCCTCAGGTAAAAGAATCATCTGTATACCGGAAATCAGTCGAGGGGTCACAACCTTGCCAGCCCATTTCTTTCCAAAGCTCTGATTTAAGTGATGGGAGCAGCCTGTCAGGATAAGCCAGCCTCCACAACTGTTTAAGTGCATCCTGCACACTCAAATAAAATAAGATGAACATATTGGCTGGCAGTCTTCACCCAATTTTTAAACAAGAAACAGACTCCTGGATTCCTTTTGGCAACGTGATGGTGAGGGGACAAATAGGGATGTACTTTATAGTGTGAACTAAAGGAAATAGAACAAAAAGGCATACTTGATGCTCCACTAGAGAGCCATCGAACGGTACTCCAAGCCTCCGCTGCAAATTGCTGAGTCTCTCCTCCTTAAGACACAATTATATGAAAGAAACAAATTCAAATTCTCAATTACCAGATTCATTAGTTCTCAAAATCTATCACATAGATTAGACAAGATTCCATCATAAAATAGATCCTTGAATATGATGCACAATAGAGCTAGCCAGGAAATTATTTAGAATGTGCTTTCACAGTATAACAGATAATACACACCTCAGTTGTCCTACAGATAATTTCTTTTTAGAGTAAAAACCTTAAGTAGTACGAGGGGCAGAGCTGATTCTAGATTAAGTTGCCAAGAACGTACTTTAGCTGATGCATAATTTGTCAGTTAAGAAAGAAAGTGATAAACCTGGAGGTCCCAAGTTCGAATCCATTAAGCAGCACCTAACGATAAAAACTAATTTATGTAACGCTATCAAAAAAGTGATAGAACATGACATTGTGCAAACAAAATGATTATTCATTCAAATCATGAAGCACGCAGCTCAGGTACTTCTTTTCAACAGGCGTACCTGTAGAGGACTGAGATAGGGCAGACGAAGATTTGTGTTTGATCCAATGGGGTTAGAGGAAGCACCAGGCAAAAAGCGTTCAATAAAAGATCTTGATCCAACAACAATGTTTGCTACAAAAGAGAAGTGAGCCTGTTACTCGTGTGTAATAATTACAAATGTGATTTTGAGGATGACAAGCTCTATCAAAATCAGAGATTAGAAAGTAAGCACCATTTATGCAAACAAAAGGTTTATTCGAGCAAGAATTGTGGTAAACTATACAGGGCAACACAACAGCAAATGAACCATGGATAAGTTTTCACTGCAGTAAGACAGCAAATCGGGCAAAGAACTACAAAAACCAATGGGTGCACGATACTCGAACCCTTATTATTAAAACAAGCAATCCACTATCTGGGTATTCCCAAACTAATAAACTCACAAACCCCGTGGAAATGAACTCATAAAGACTTCATTGTGAATCCCATACAGGAAAAAAAAACATTATAAACTTCAAACAACAAATAGCATACCTAACCATTGTGCCCACTGCGCAATCACATTTGTAAACAGATATGTCCAGTGGATTTGTTCCTTCGTCCTATCAACATTAAATAGATCTCCAAGAAATACCTACAACAATAGGAACTTCAGTGCTTCACACCCAAAAAAAAAAAAATAATAAATTCAAGGGGGTAAAAAAAGCTCACCCCTTTCGGTTCAATGTGTAGCTCATGAGACTGAAGTAATGGTTCGTCTAATCCAGATATTTCATAATGCTCATTCCGTTTTCCATCAATATCCCCATGACGAAGCCTTCTTCTCACGGTTGTTGACATTCTAATATTAGGATGACTCTGGAAAACTTAAAAATGTTATGTGAGGGTTGGGGAAAATGAATCCCGAGCACACAGAAAATTAAATTCCAAAACCTAAATCCTGCGGAATCTTGCAGGCACTGGTTCACATGGTGAACTGAATCCTATGATCACGAGCATTCTAGCTCTTCATGAGTCCCATAAAAATAAAAGCAAACTCTACTTCTCCAACCTCCCATTCAAATACACCAGAAATGAAGTTGATGCACTATGAAATTTGGTTCTGTATTGAAAAAGTAACTACTTTGCAACAATTGGAAAGCTCCATATCCAGCGAAATGAACTGTTTGCACACATTCGCTTTGTCTTTCAGCATTCAGCATTACTCTGACAAGACCATTCGTTCAACACAAACTACAAAATCTAATACAAACCCTAAATCTACACGACCAGAAACAATATAGACCATAAGAACTTATGCAACGAAGAAATACCCCCAATTCAAGAGCAAAGACCTCCCTCCCTTCCCACACCTTCCAGGTTCAGCTTAGCCTTCAAATGGATACTCGCCAAGGTTGGCCGAATGTCTTCTGACTCTTCTCACACACCAAAAGATGAACGACCCAATAATAAGCCTTAAACCGTCAGCTATTCGTAAAACTTTGGCTACCAAAAGAAGAGCGACCCACTTACCAATTGAGATGGCAGGGTAGCTGAAGGGACGGACTGAGAGAACTCCCGTTGTAGAACTCGGTATTTTCGATTGAAATGGAAGGCACCTAACGAATTCCAATCGTAGAACCCTAATTTCTCGTGTCTAGAGCTTCAAATTAGTTTCCTTCTGCTTCCACAACAGGGACGAGTCGGCTACCTTCTGGTTCGAAACCCAACGGAGTTACGGGCGTGACAAACACTTCCTATAGCACCGTTGTGGTCGACGGAGCTCGCTGGAGAGGAAGAATTGCAGGAGCTCAGATCGAGAACCTGGAGTTGAGGGGTCGAATTAAGATGATGAAGTGGAGGGGTGCGCCGCCATTGTGGTCGACGGAGCCGGCTGGAGACAAAGGATTGCAGGAGCTCAGATCGAGAAGATGGAGTTGTGGGTGTGCCGTTCGTCGAACTTCTCTCTTGCTCGGTTAGCGGGTGAAGGAGGAGATACTTTCCTCCCGCAAAGCAGCGCTTAGAAGAATAAGAAATTAAATAAAAGAAAGTTTAAATAGATAAAAGAACTAATAACCACAAGACTTTTCAGTTTCAGTCCTCACATAACAAATAACTACGTTTTTAGCCCAAAACAACCACAGTATGCAAAACTCAGGATGTACGAGACGTTCTATTTTACATTTTTATATGGGATTCCAGCAAGGTTGTCAACCCGCGGGTTGACCCGCGGGTCAACCCATTTTGACCCTGACCCGGTGAGAAAAATGGGTCGCAAGCACCCACCGGACCGACCGCTATAAGGTACTGGGTTGGAGGTGAAATTGTGTCATTTTTTTCATTGGATTGCGAAATGCGCCTATTTTCCGATTTTTCTTTTCGCCTAGCTCAATTTTTGGAATGCTAAGTTGAACATTTGAATATTTATGTTATATAAGTGTGTGTGAATTTTCACTATATGTTGGATCTATATACGATATGTTATTTTGGTGTAATATTATATGTTATAACTCATATGTTAGATAAGATTTGATATAATTTATGAGGATAAGTACAATATAATGACTTTTTCCATATTTTCGGGCCAAACCGGGTTAAAACGGTTGACCCATTAACCCTTGACCCACTAGCTCGACCGGGTCCGGGTCAACCCGCGGATTGACAACCTTCATTCCAGACATGGGTTGCCTCCCATGACGCGCTCTTTCTTTTTGTCTTTGACTTAGGCATAGCTCCTCCTTCAAGGTCCCCAATTTAAGTACACTATTTTAATTGTAGGCTCCAAGTGGTGTACCACCTTAGTCTCCACCATGCACTTAATACAAGGAGGGACTCGTGTATTCCCCTTTTGGGTTAGATATTATGCTACGGTCTCATGGCTCTCTTCATATTTTGCAAAGGGATCATCATCAAGTAGTCTATTGAGATCTGTCTTGACTCATGACTCAACCCGAATGCACCACAATAAAACCCCCAATTAAGGCCCAAGTATAAACCTTAACTCGGTAACAGTACATGGAAAGTACGTTTAAATATCGACTCGGGCCGATTCATGTACCCCTACTTCGATTGCTTGAAACATTATCTAGCGGTTGGTTTTTGGTGAAAACAAAAATCTATAGCTAAAGCGTTTGCAAAGGTAAAAGGATTTGACACTAATTGAGAAGGCTTCACCCGAGTGTTGCTCCCCTCCTTTTTTCCCTTCAGCTCAACCTCCTTTATATACCCAGATCGGGCTCAGTTCACGGTCTTATTTCACGGTCGTGAACTGAAAGCCCAAACCGCGAACCAAAGTCGAAACGCGTCACATCACTAATCCCAGTTCACGGGCAATGGCCTGAGTTGTGTCCAGTGACAGTTGTTTGTGCTCTGGATGCCTGGTTGTTCACGGGTAGCGCCTCTAGTTCACGGTCTTAGTGACCGTGATTTGCTGTTGTTTCCACCGTTTGACTTGATTTTTCGCCCTTTCGTCCAACTTTCGACTCTGGGGTTGGTTCCACCTGCCAAAGTCTGTAAAACACCAAAACAAGGCAAAACCCGGCGTAAAACCAAACCTCCCAGAATAAAAATGCTTCAAACGACTACCGGGGGCAAAAAGTGTACAAATGAGCCCGAATCAATCCCCCACACTTAGACGTTTGCTTGTCCCCAAGTAAACCATTTTCAATCTAGGTGATATCTCAACCTAACAAGATAACTTGGGGACAAATCAAAAGGCACAGAGCGGTGAATCTCAATGACTGTTTGGGCATCAATACATGAACCGCCTCAAACAATACCGGCATCCACCACCAACGACATTCGATTGCATAAAAAATTGGCAAATGAAAAGTTCTCACCCTGTTCACAAATCAATGCAAGTCTCAACCGGACTACTCACCAACCACAACTAACTTTGCATAGAAATCAAGTCCCAAGGAACAGACAACGGGGTAACATAGGTCCTCACCGAGGTAAGATATGAACATGCAAAACAAGAATGAATCACTCACTCTCGACCAGTGGGGTCAGCACCTTTTTGGTGCAAAAGATGTGCAAAATCATGCACATTCAGCCCTATCGTCTCTCCACCACGGCGACAACCTCTAAATGCTAGAGTTCACGGGACGGTTTTCATCACTAGCTTGTCCGGAGGTCTTAGACACGGGTTCAAATGACTGGTAATTGTCTTGGAAATGGGAAAAGGCTTTTTTGGGTGGTGGCAAACATGGCATGAGGTCCTACATCTTCAACCTAAAACTCAAGGTTCTATGGTCTCAACCTAAAACCTCTAAATGATAGAGTTCACGGGACGATTTTCTTCACTAGCTTGTTCGGAGATCTTAGACACGGGTTCAAATGACTGGCAACTGTCTTGGACATGGGAAAAAGACTTTTTTGGGTGGTGGCAAACATGGCATGAGGTTCTAAATCTTCAACCTAAAACCCAAGGTTCTATGGTCTCAACTAAGAACCTTTCCTACAAACAAAGACCACTAGCATCAGCCAAAAACCACACTTCCCTTCTCCCAAACCACTACCAATCACGAACTAAATTCAAGCACACTACTTCGGCCTATCTTGCTATTCACATTTCAAACATAGTAGTGAAGGAGGTCATCAAACAATTTAGGTGTTTCAATGGTTTGAGTGCCAATAAACCCTTTCTAGAGCATACACTTAGACTTTTGTGGTCACTCTCTATTTTTATTTACTCCGTTTTATTACCTCTTTTTGTTTCTTTTGTTTCTTTTTGTTCTTTTTTTTTTTTTTTTCGAGGGGGGTACTAGAGAGCTAAACACATGCAACTTCTTTCATTTAACGAACAATGCTCTCCTTTTAAGAACTTCTCTCTAACACTACCTTCTCCTTTCTAGCAAGAATTGTGCAAAACCACCTATGTAGAACCTCAATGGAGCTCAAAAGCGAGAACTCTGAGACACAAGGATGACTCACACTTTGACACGAAGAAGGATGGGTGGGGGTCGTTCTTTCAATCACCATTAAGCTCATTGAGCGCGAAGCTCCTAACATTAGAATGACCCCCAAAGTCACACGACTCAAAGGTGTTGACTAGGGGATAAAATATTTCGGGACAATCAACTTTTGGTCGTGGGCTAATCATATGCCTCCATCATACTCACTAGTCACAATGGTGAATGTTACACACCACGGCAACAGGGATATATCACACATGTAAAAAACGATCGACACAAAACTCACATAGCTACCTAGCCACCCAATCGTCTATTCCAATTCAAAAACTTCAATGCATGGCAATTGTAATCAAGAAGTAACCAAGTCAAGACATCCATTCATTTAAGCACACATGAGAACTAAGCTTTTGCACATTCCTAATGCATTCTCAGTAATCATAATAGGATGCACTCGATTACATGCAACAATTCAAGATCGATGCCAAATAAGCATGAGATTCACCCACCAACTGGGCATTTTCATCATGCATTGCTTAGAGCCCTCAAATTTGTCAAATTTGGCCATACATTAAGGCTCCAAGCATTCACTCACACACACAAGCATAATAGTAAATTACCCCCCACACTTAAACTCAACATTGCCCTCAATGGTGTAAAATAGGGGGTAGAACGATGTTACCACATGGCTTGATGAATGAAAGTTAGAGAAATTCCCGGGGTTGGATGTTTGAGCTTCAAAGGAAAAAAACAAAACAGAAACACACGCACATTCTCGCTCGAGGCGAGGTCATTGCACATAATAGAGTTTCAGAATACGATTTAAAATAAAGAACTCACTAGGTACTAGTTCACATACTACTTAAGGAGAAAATAAAAATAAAAATAAAAAGAGAAAGAGTTTGCAAGTAGAGAAGTGGGGCGAAAGAAATCGACTCTGCCACATGTCTCCCTCGACGGCTACCTCGTCGTGGCAAGCTCACTCCTCGTCATCTGAGAGGACGCCCTGGCATCAAGCCATCCTCTCTATGAGATCGGCGGTCCGGTCGAGTCGAGCGGTGACTCCCACATAATGTGCCTCGAGGAGATCCACTCGCTCCTCGGATGATGATGATGCAGCTGATGATGGTGGTGTTACGGTGCGCCGGCAAAATTCGGGTGCTCTGGTGCGTGGCTGCTCCTAGGAAGGAACCTCTGGTGGGAGGGGGAGTCCCTCAATATAGCGAAATGGTCCGAAGACTTGAATCAACTTCATTGCTCTTAAGGTGTCCTCCCCAATCCCCTGGTGCTCCCTTCCTTTAGCAGCACTCGAGGTTGACATTAAAATGTCGCGCCAGGTGGGTGATGAAGGGTGACTCACTCCTACTGTCACTCTAGAAAATGGCCAAGTGTAACCACTTCCCAAAGCGTAGTATAGCGGGTTTGGGTTTTATTGTCAACCCGGGTCCTAGATGTGATGACTACTCGGTGAAATCTTGTTATCTAGCAGTGAACTTTTAGTGCAACTCAAGCAAACAAAAACACAAAGCAAGTAAACGGTTGTTGTCAAGTCAAGAGAGGTCACCCGGATATGGTTCCCCCTAGACTGCAGTTAAGTCGGATTGCAATTTACCAAGTTCAGTTTTCATGAAAGTTATACTGCGGAAGGTTCTTAATTAGCCTGAAGTCTCGACTAAAGGTCTCCAGACCCTCTCAGTCTGAGTCTCTAGCGGGCGACTAACCTCCACCGGAGTAAACAGATTGAGGCCCTAACGAACCAAACCTCCACTACCGAATTGAATTCGGTACAGAATAGCGAATTGGCTCCTCGACTAAAGTCACCAATTCGCCACCTTCGATTAAGGATACTCTATCAACCTATGCAGATATTCTCATTCTAGGTCAAAGCAGAAACAACAGGAATTTGATCAGGATTCAAGTCATTCAATCATTCAAACCTCAATCGAATATAATCAATTCACAAACTCTGTACTTGGGTTCATACAATCAGACCTAGCATACAAATCTAGGGTTCCCCATACCCAGATGAATGGGGGAACTACTCCATAGAGATAGAAGCAAAAGCAGATTCAGACGCGGAAATCATACTGTGAAGACGGAT